GTAGGTATTTGCATGTAGAAACCATAGACTTAATTCATGTCAAAATGATGCATCATACCTGCTGCAAGTTTTATTATAGGTATTCTGTAAGCACACTTTTAAGCAATACTTTTGTACCTACTTATATAAACTATGCATGATATTAGTCTAAAACCAAAATTTCATGATTTACCATATAGTTCTTTGGACTGGACCCCAGCAGAGTCAACAGCATTTCAAGCCATAATAACCCCATAGCTCTACACTGCTCAGGATATGTGTTTACTCCAAATACTCCCCACAAAGGATCCACGTGCTAATTAGCCCCCCGCTTATGCCTGGAACCAGGTCATAAGTGTGACATAAGTGTGTGCTTGTCATGAGTCTTGGGATCCTCCAAAAATTTATATGTAAACGAGGCACAGGGCAACTGGGTCTGGCTCCATCTCACAGAGGGCAGGGCTGCAGTAATCATATACACCAGGTGGGGAGATGGGATGAGAGAGGGCTTCTGGGTGAACTGTTTGGGGCCATTTGGTAATGTTTACCAGACATTTAAGGCAGTGAATAAACAGAAATCATTGGAAATGGAAAAGAAAGGTAGTGAACAGGAAGCTGAAATATGTGTATTGTTGTGGCTTCAAAAACAGTTAGCACTAAGGGGGACTGCACTCAGTGGACACTACCAGGTATCTTATTCAGATGGGCTACACTAACCCATCCTTGTGATAGGGTCCCATCAGCATCTTGGCCTTTTTGGCTAAGATCAAACGTAGCCACCTTGGGAAGTGCATTGGCTGCACCTGGACTTGGAGCTGGGAGTCTCCCTACAACCAGCCTGCATGCCGACTGCATCACTGTGACACCCCACATGAGGACCTTTCTGGAGCAGTTCCTGAAGGACGCTGTCTGAAACAAGTACGTCAGCAGCCTGAGGGCCAAACCTGACCAAGGTGAGGTCTCTGATATTACCTTGAAGTGGGACTTCAGCAACCACTTGGTAATCTTGTGGCTACGCCAGACGAGAAAGCCGTAATCTTTAACAAGTTCTTTGCCTGTTTTCTTGGACAGGGAACAGGACAGCTCTCCCACCACAGGTTGGGGCAATCTTGAGGATAGCACTGCCAGGCCTCGGGTCTGCGCAGAAGTAATTAGGGATCTTCTGGAAGGGCTGGATGTTTTTAAATCTGCAGGCCCTGATGCCCTCCACCCACGGGTGTTGAGAGAGCTGGCAGGGGTCATTGCTGTGCCCTTTCCCCGGCTGTACAAGTGAGCGTGGTCCATGGGCCATGTGCCCGGAGACTGGAAACTAGCTAATGTGGTCCCCATCTATAAGAATGGGAGAAAGGAGGGCTCAGGAAATGATAGGCCCATAAGCCTCACATCGGTCTTGGGGAAAATCCTTGAAAAAATTATCAAGGAGCACATCTGTGAGGGAGAGATCATGCCCAGGGGAAATCAACACGGGTTCATCAAAGACAGGTCCTGCCAGACCAACCTGATGGCCTTTTATGACCAGGTAAGGTAACTAAATCCCTGGATGATGGTGTCGCCGTGGACGTAGTCTTTCTGGACTTTGACACTGTCTCTCACCCCATTCTCATTAATAAACTGAGCGACTGTGGCATTGATGCCTACACAGTTGGATGGGTCAAAAATTGGCTGATGGGGCGCACCCAGAGAGTGGTGGTGGATGGGTCATACTCGACCTGGCGGGATGTGAACAGTGGGGTCCCCCAGGGCTCGGTCCTGGGGCCCACACTGTTCAACATCTTCGAAGCGACTTGGACGAGGGGGTGGAAAATACACTGTCCAAGTTTGCCAATGACACCAAGATGTGGGGAGAGGTAGGCATGCTTGAAGGGAGAGAGAGGCTGCAATTAGACTTAGACAGACTATAGAAGTGGGCGGATGGTGATAGGATGGGCTTCAATGTAGATAAATGTAGGCTGCTGCACCTGGGGAGAAGGAATCCACAGTATACATACTAGCTGGGGAGCTCCCCCCTTGAGAGCATAAAGGCAGAAAGGGATCTTGGAGTCATTATTGACTCCAAGATGAACATGAGCTGCCAATGCCAGACCACAGCCAGCAAAGTCAACCACACTTTGTCTTGCATCCAAAGATGCATCTCAAGCCGGTCCAGAGAGGTAATACTCCTTCTCTACGTGACATTGGTCCGGCCTCAATTGGAGTACTGCGTCCAGTTCTGGGCGCCATGCTTTAAGAAGGATATGGCCTGCCTTGAGAAGGTTCAGAGGAGGGCCACCTGCTTGGTTGGAGGGCAACAGGGCAGGCCCTACGAGGTGAGGCTGAGGGACCTGAACCTGTTCAGCCTCAGCAAGTGGAGGCTGAGGGGGAATTTGGTGGCTGCCTACAAACTCATCAGGGGAGATCAGCAGCAAATAGGAAGGGTCCTATTCCCCCCAGCAGCACCTGGGGTGATGAGGAACAATGGCCAGAAGCTGCTGGAGAACAGGTTCAGGTTAGAGATTAGGAGGCACTATTTCACTGTCGGGGTGGCTAGGTTCTGGAACCAACTTCCTAGAGAAGTGGTCCTTGCTCCTACCTTGGGTAAATTTAAAAGAGGTTGGATGAACACCTGTCTGGGGTCGTGTGATCCCAGCGTGTGCTCCAACCAGTGGCGGGGGGTTAGACTAGATGATCTATTCAGGTCCCTTCTGACCCCTAACTACTATGAAACTATGAAACTTCATGCCCAGTGGGAGCTTCATGTGCTTCCCAGACTGGCGCTTCCTCCACCGCGCCCACCTCAACTGCCTGCCTCTGAATGGGGCTGTCCGCTTTGGCCACTGGGACAAGTGGTGCTGATGGTGCAGCTATGCAGCAGAGACCCTCCCCCATGTGCTGTGCAGCTGGAGGCCACACACCAGAGCCTGGCAGCTCTGCCACAATGCTGTCCACGACCGCTTGGTGAGGGCCATCCCGGCCACAGTGGAAAGGATCTCCGTGAACCGCACTGTCCCAGGCTGCAAGAGCCAGATGCACCCTGACATCATGATCACCAATGAAGAGGCCAAGAAGATCATGATCATGGACATGATCATCCCCTTTGAGAACTGGCGTCAAGCCTTCACCAAGTCCCGGGCTCACAAGAGGGAGAAGTACGCCCTGCTGGCCGACATCCTGAGGGGCCGTGGCCACAACGTGATGGTTGACGCGTTCATCGTGGGAGCACTCAGAGCCTGGGATGCCAGCAACGAGAGCATCCTGCATGCCTGCCGCGTCTCCCGCCACTACACCAAGCGGATGCGCTGCCTCATGGTGTCCAACACGATCCACAGTTCCTGTGACATCTACATGGAGCACATCACGGGCCACCGCCAGTACACTTACCCCACCAGACTGACCACTGCCAGACCAGACCCAGAGGGGATCACCTGAACTGAACCCCTCTCTGCATCTGATGGGCTTCACTTCAAGAAGAATCTTCAGCAATGGACCACCCCACTCCACCTGAAGAGGACCCCCGTGATGAGACTCTATATGGACTGAGAAACTTTTGTCAACCTATTTCCCCCACCATTGTGGATCATTGTACAGGTTTGTGTGTATCTATCTTCTTTCTCTCTCAGTGTTGTGAGCCCCCACCCCCATCCCCGGGCTTAGTTGGCTAACATTGTATTTTCTGTAACCTAGTTGCATTCCCCTCCCCTCACCCCCATCCCTCTTATGTTAGTCTCTCGCTTGGGCTATCTGTATTTCACTACTGGCTTTGTCATCTTTTTGGATTCATAATTCTAAACATCTACTAATAAAATTCGATCTATTTTTGGGAGGGTGCCCTCCCAATGCCAGCCTACTATTGCAGTACCTCCAGGCCTGGTGCCAGGTCCCTATGGAAGGAACACCCACCCATTTTTTTTAAGGGACACACACACACACACACACACACACGTTTCCATCAGCATGGTTGTGTAATATGGGCCACGTGTTTTATAGTCATGTTCATTGTTGGCTGCATTTAATCAACTTCATAGTTGGCTTCCATTACTGAGCAAATGCTGCTTTTGTTATCAGTTTAACGATAGTGTATTTAGTGAAGTTTTCTTGTATTCAAATGAAAAGACAAAGGGTTTTTCCCCCCTATGCTGATTGGGGGCGGGGAGACCTTGTCTTGTATTCGAGTAAATTTGGTAATAATTTTAGAGGAAATAGAATGTACAGGATAGATTCAAGAAAAATATTGATTAGACAGATAGGTGCAAAGAGAAATCAATTAAGAATCTGATTTCATTTTTAAAGCTTGTTCCTCCAGGCTCCCACAAGGGCATAAGCTTCCTTGGAAAATACTGGGTCTGTCTCTCTGCATCTCCTTGTTCCAAAGACTTATTGCAGATGTCCAAGTATCCATCAGCAAAAATACAATGATATGGGAATATTTCTTTGTTTCTTTTCTTTTCCTTATTACCTCACTGCTTCTGGCCCGCTATAAAATGAAAAAGCCCTCTCCTCTTACAGTCCGTGTTATTTAACAGTTTTGCGGTATTCCATTGCTTATAACTTTTATTGCTCACGTCTCTTCATTTGTTCCTATCTTTCGACCAGAAGTATCTGCAGGGTACAGATTCTGTCTCCTGTTTATGTAGAGCCTTATCCCATGGGTGCTACCATTCGCAGCATCCTCAGCATTAGTTGCTAACATAATATATGAAGGTGTTTGAGAAACTAATGGAAAAATGACTGCCCACACTGTGATGTCTATGACAGAGTAGGAAACTATGCAGCAGCAGGGAGTACCGATGGCAGCACTGTCAAATGCAGCCATCTTTTACGACTATGTAGACAAGCGATGATGTCCAGTAAATGATCGTTGCACACAAAGTAGCTTTATTTTGAAGTTGCCATTAGTTTCAGAAACATTCTCATAAGTATTTAGCAAGACTCCTCATAAATATAATTCATAATTTCTCTGGGATGTCAGTATATTTCCATGCCATATTTTTCTGTAAATCTTTCCTTTTCCTGCATCATTTGCTTCTCATTTTCCTTCCCACCAGGTGGAATGGCTTAAGAATGAGGAGCCTATTGATTCCAACCTGGATGAGAACATTGACACCAGGGCAGATCATAATCTCATCATCCGCCAGGCCCGTCTGTCTGATTCTGGGAACTACACCTGCATGGCTGCCAATATAGTGGCCAAGAGAAGGAGTATGTCTGCAACCGTGGTGGTGTATGGTTAGTGGAAACATGTAATATTCACTAGACATTGTTAATCATTCAAGGGAACAGATAGACAGCAGGTGCTTACAGACCCATGGAGTTGTGCATTTCCCACCTCTGCTCCCTACTTTAATGGGTTCCAGTCCTGAGACTTGACCTCAAGAGCAAGTTGTTTGCACAGTGTCTAGCACAATGAGGGCTCCCTGGTGCCAGCTCAATAATATGATTGCAATTTAGCAGTCCTTGTTACAGTTCCTAATAATTGTGACCAAGCAAACAAGCCTTATTCGTAGGCCCAAATCCAACTCTCCAATAGGCAGGTAAGTAGCACTTCCCCGTCTCAATAAGCCATACTTTCTCTGGCTTGCTCTACTCCTGCCCCACATAGCTCTGCCCTCTTGGCACCTATGTGGGTTAGCTTCGCAGAGATGTGCAGAGGGAGATCCTAGCCTGGTGCCAAATAATTAGAGGACTTTACTGTGGGGAAATCAGGTTTAAAAGTCCTTCAGGCTGCAGAGAGCCTAGACTGTGTTTTTTGTGCTGTCTAGGCAAGTGCTCTTACTCCTAGATCTCTGCCACCACCTTTGCCTCCACCTCCTTCTCCATCGAAGTGTTGCTCATTGTGCTCATTCTGCCACTAACATTTCAAGGATTTCCATAGAGTTATGCGCACTCCCATGTGGAAGACAATTGCCAGAGAGCACAAGAACGGGGCTGGAGCAAATCCTTTTTGAGCATGCTCAAAAGAGTACTGCCAGTTGCACAAGGGGGAGTAAGTGTCCCAATTGACACTTGGGTAGTTAAAGTTAGCCATGAAAATGCTACCTACTTCCCTTCTTCTAGGGATGCTGGATTTAAGCAATGGTGTTGATAAGCCTGGTTCAGGAAGGCACTCAGATAAGTGCCTGTGGGGTCCTATACACATGCAGGGAGGCTGCTCCAGCATGTTGCAATTACAGCACATTGGAGCAGAGTCAATTAATCGAGTCTGCTGGAGCGTGGTAATTACCTTTCTCCAGCAGACTCCAGCATCACGTGTATCAGTGTCCCCATGCTTGTCCACTCATCAGACAAGCTTTAGTTAAAGCCCCCCCGCCACCATTTTTCAGTGCGGGGATGCTGATACACATCACGCTCCAGGCACTTTAATTAGCATGGCTCTGAGTGGTGCTAATTAAGCAATCCCTCCCGCCTCCCAGAGCATGTCTGTAAATGCCCTGTGTGCTTTTTTTCTGAATAGGGATAGTCTTAAACAATCCTCAAATAGAGGCTCCATAGCATTATACAAAAAATAGGTAATGCAGATAGTTGTGTAGCACTGGGTGAAAAAACAGAATTTTTTGTTTTCATCATTCCCTGTTGCTCTCCAAGTTCATAAACTGGAGAGCAAAATTTCACAATGCAGTGAAAGGATAAATAAGATCTTAAACATACCTCAAGGTGAAGTGCGTTTGAAGGGAACTGAGGTCCATTCTTTGACATCCCCTTCAGTCCTGCTGTCAGTTGTTACACCTCCTGATGCATGGATCTTCCAAATTCACACACTGTAGTTATTTCACATCCAGATGTAACTGCATGTTGATGCTATTTAGATGGTGATGCCCCTTTTTGAGTTTAAATTTACCTTGCAGAATGTGTTAAAAAAATGCACCACACACACACACCTTAAGAAGGACAGGATGTAAATGAAGATTTGATATTTAGAGACTTTTATATAATGCATATAATACATGTGTTTGTGCTTTTCAGTGAATGGAGGCTGGTCGTCATGGACAGAGTGGTCTAACTGTAATGTGCGGTGTGGTCGAGGCTGGCAGAAGCGATCCCGGACCTGTACCAACCCTGCTCCACTCAATGGGGGAGCTTTCTGCGAGGGAATGTCAGTGCAGAAAATTACCTGCACTTCACTTTGTCCTGGTGAGAGAGATGCAGCTTAACCAGGTCTAACTTGAAAGGTCACGCCCCGGAGAGAGCCCTCTGACCTGCATAGGCAGGGGTGCTATGCAGAGTCACTGAGATCAAAAGGAACTAGAAGACATTTGCGTGCTTCTTGTAGAGTGGCGTTCAGAGGCTTGTGCTTTTCGACGTTTCTTGCAATAGCAGAGGAAGTCACAATCCTTGCTCGCCAGATCTGCTAGGGTTCTTAATGCCTCTAGCTCACAAAAGGCAAATGAATGCTCAGTCGCCAAGCAGCAATTTGGTGCGACACACAGAACTTGAGGCAAAAGAGAGGGCTCTGAATATTGAATGGCTGGGCCCTAAAAATGAGGCACAGAGCTTTTTACATTGAGCATTTAGGGCAGCGGTTCCCAACATTGGGGTTGCAGTGATAAAAAATAGGGTTGCAAAAACACTCAGCAGGGTCAACTGATTATGTTGAAAATCACAGAAAAAAGTGGGAAAAGGTGGGTTCTCCTTGGAGGCTGGCAGAGTTCCAGCCTGTGAGGGGCTGCTTGGGTGTGGGGGGATCAGGAGGAGGGTGATGAGGCAGCCACGCAGCATGGAGAGCACCTCCTGCAGATCCCTCCAGGTAAGTCTATGGGGTGGGGGAAGAGCAGATCAGGGTCCCCACAGTGAGGAAGAGAGGGCGTAGTTTGTCTCCCTGCCACTGTGAATTGCCAAGGAGGCAGGCATGGGGGGGCACATTCCCCCCCATATTTGTGCATAGGGTGGGGTAGGATGAGGGTGCTACATCCCATCTGCTGGGCTGCAGAAACCCTTAGGGGAGGGCAGTAGGGTGGGGAGCCCCAAGCCCAAAGCAGGAAGCCCACTTCCTCCCCCCCACCCCGGGAACCACTTCAGCTGTGCTGCCCACGTAGGGACGGGCCGTTGATCTTGTTTGCATCATTTTGGGATTGTAAAAAATGTCCAGTGTTTAAATGGGGTCAGGTTGAGGAAAAGGTTGGGAGGCACTGAGTTAGGGCTTAGTGATGCTGGCAGTCGGCAGGAGAAATGCAGAACCCTGAGCTGCGGGGTTATGAGGAAATAAAGGATGATTTGGTTTGAAAACACATTACTTTAAAATGGTACAAAAAGGTTAAATGGGATAAAGGGATTTAAATACCCTGTCACTGTAGATAACTATGCTTCTGTTATAGCCTGGTTTTTGTCCTTTGTTTATATATTTGTGGTTTCCCCCAAAATGATAAAGTTACAGGTTAACAGAATAGTTGGGGAGGCAGGGACAGCGATGACAGCACGAAGTGGGGCAGACATGCAGTTTTAACCAAGTTTATCATTTTTAAAAGTGAACAGAGAAATTTCCATCTATTCCAGTGGGGACTGAGCCTCTGAGCTCTGGATCCACTAGGTACTAAAGTGAATGTAGGAACAAAAAAGTCTGACTTTTACCCTACCTGATTGGTGCACGAAAAAAACCGGGGCCGTGGAACACCTTTGTCACGTAGGGGTTGTGCCAGAGAGTTACAAATCTGTCAGCAGAGAGATGCATTGATCCTGAATCACTCGGGGCATTAACCAGCAGCCAGCAAGGAAGGCCAGCTCTTGTTCTTTTGGTAAATGTCAACATTATTCCTGCTTGATGGCTCTGTGAGGCCCCCACATACCAGCCCTGTTGGAGCTGAATTTTGAATGAACACTAGGAGCTTAATAGCTGCATTATGAAGAAAAGTATGTGAAATTCTCTCCTGCGGTCCTAAGTGGCTGTAGGTGTTCTTTCCTTCCTGCCTTAAACTGTCTCATATATTGTGGCTGCACTTGATTTAAAAAGCTGCTGTGTTCTACGCTGAAGGTAGCTGCATTTCAGTGATGCCTTTTAAACTGACTTCTGTGTATATAATATGAGAGAGAAAACAAATCCTAAGGAGTTAAGAACTTTCTTGATAATAGATGCTAAGTACATGCCATCAGACGTGGCATGCATCTTTAAAATTAGTATTATATAGGTCTGACGTAGAGGTATAGCTCATATTCTGTGTATAAACCTCTTGAGTCTTAGCATAAATTCCACATGCTGACATATTAGGGAGAAAGGGGATGGCTTTCTTTAGAAGAACCTCAGAAAAGCACCTGTGGAACCCTTGGAATAAATGAATTTGGATGCACCCTGATCACAACTGTCATATAAGCTTCTGTTTTTTGTCTTCCCGTTTAGTGGATGGTAGCTGGGAGGTATGGAGTGAATGGTCAGTCTGCAGCCCAGAATGCGAACATTTGAGAATTCGGGAATGCACTGCTCCTTCCCCACGAAACGGAGGAAAATTCTGTGAAGGCTTAAGTCAAGAATCTGAGAATTGCACCGAAGGACTTTGCATTCAAGGTAGGTGATATGACAATGAACCTTTACACTGGACTGTCTTGGGAGGTGTTGCCCTCTAAAAGTTATGCCATAATGTGTATGCTGTAGAGTGTTGCACATGAATTGCATTCGAGTCTGGAGAACAATTTTGTCTGAAATCTTTATGGAAGGTAAGATATATGTTCAGGTTGCTGCACAGCTGCAAATTTGATATCCACCTGACTTCAGGCTTTTTCTAAGGATCTGAGCCAAAACCCTGCTGTAGGCCATAGAAAACTCACTGTGGCTTCAAAGAGCTTTGGGTTAGGCATAATGAATAATGCATCAAAGATTTATGGAAGTTTAACGTGCACAAGCCAGCACATTTTTCACTTACAAATCATAGATATCATAGAAAAGTAGGGTTGGAAGGGACCTCCAGAGGTCATCTAGTCCAATTTATTACTAAGTGATTCTGATAAGACATAGATCTTTTCGTGACATGGGAGATTAAGATTAAGATTATTTTGGAATTCCAATGCATATAATGCAGCAACAAATCAGTGCCCCAGATATTTTGGGTCAAAGGCAGCTCTCACTTTCACCTTTGCTACTAAGAAAGATTTTGTGGGTGTGAGTAACAGATTTGAGCTTTGCATGCTACTATGAGCTCTTCATGAAAGCATCTGACCCTTCCCAACCGTATGGAAAGCATCTGGCATATAGTTGTTGCTACCATAAACAAACAGCTAAGGAGTCAGGAAAATCAGCCCTGCAGCTGAAATATCAGCACTGAGATGCAAAACATCCAGGGACATCTGCGTCGTCTTGAAATAAATGAGAAGTTAACAAGTTTCTTCCTACATTGCATGCTATTCCGTAGCCATGTAATAATATCGCCAACTCATCGCTTTCTAGCAATAAAATGGCAGCCTTGGGAACCATTCGGGACTCTAGGGCTGAAACAAGCAAATTAGGGGGAAAAGCTAAGTTTGCTTGTATTTTGATATCTCCTCCTTTGCATCCGTTTTCATGGGAGTGTATCGTTCCCCCACCTTAGTCAACATTGGACAAACAGGGTGCTGTGAATCCAGTCTAATTCACGTGGTGTATCCAGCGGGCAGCTGGAAAGCCAGGTCCCAGCTCTGCTGCTGGCCTGCTTGGTGACCTGCAAGTATGACAACACTAAGCTTTCTTCAGGAAGCACTTAGAGGTTTATGGCTCTATTGCTATTAGTATGCACCGACTATCAAAACCGTGTTAATGACGCTAGGAATTTGAACTTGCCTTTCTTTCACTGCAGCACATACTCAAATCTAGCTTGGTCCTTGGAAGGTCCACAGATTTCACACACAACTGGCACTCACTCTTGTGGCTGTCTGTGACTGAGCAGTTGCAGTTTAGTATTTGCTTACTTTAGTAGTAATTGAAACTATGTACCCACTGCCTGCCTTGCTGTTTCCAGCAGGAAGGCATTTGACTTCACTGTCTTGTTCCTTGCATTGCACCACCCCTCCACCCTATGCGCACAGAGACTTCACCAAAATGTCCAGTAAATAAATGGGCATTTCCTCTTTGTCAGCTGCCAGCTGCATGAGAGTAGGCCATTCTGATCCAGTATGGCAGATCTTGCAAGTTTGGTATCTTGCCTCCAGTACCTCCTAATACTGTACTTGGCAATCTAAGGGAAAAATTAAAGGGGAAAAAATATGCCTAGAAAATTGTCCAAAGCTGTATGTATGGTAAGAAGAGGAAATGTTCTTCACACCATGAACTGTGGAATTGCATCACTTTCAGCATGAGATTTGATTAACTTTCACTTAGGCTGTTAGTAATAAAAGTCATCACTGTAGCCTAGAACATTTGTATATTGAGGCTGGGATTTAAAATGCACCTAACTTCTTTAATATTCAAGTCCCAGTTGGCTTTTTAAAAATGTAGTTATATTTACATTTCCCCTATACCTTAGTTTTGCTGTAGCTATGTCTGCTAGCGACTGACATTATGTAGATGAACCTTATTTTTTTTAAGAGGATATAGGCATGATTTAAACTTTCTTTTTCTTCTCTCTTGTGACATAAAGAGAATAACAAGTGAGGATCTGTCGGGGCTTGGAATTAATTCAGTTTCTGAGAACGTCTCTGTAGTGAACAGAAGATACTCTTTGGGTTGATTCACTCTTCCATACAGTAATTGAATCCTCTTCCCTGCAGATACTTGTTATATCCAATACCCCTTCAGGTGTATTTGTGTAACAGGCCTATTAGTGAATTTTTTTTTTTCAGTGGATGTACTATGGCATAAGAAAGATATGGACAAAATGAAGACAGTCCAGAGGAGAACCACAAAAATGACATCTGAGGAAAGGTTGGAAATGTTGCAATGATGTGGTTTGAGAGGGGGTTTGATAACAGTCTACAGATATACAAAGGACTGTTAAGAAGAGGATGGTGATAGATTGTTCTATGTCCGTGAAGGACAGGGCAGGAAGTAAGAGCCTTAGAAAGTTCTTCTTAATCTCTTGTTGTCACCTAAGTTAACCACCTTCAGAGTTTGAAGTACCAGAATAAACTGCCTAGGGAGGCTGCAAAATCTCCATCTTTGGAAGTTTTAAAGTGCAGGTCAGACAAATCCTTGGCTGGGATGGTTTAGATAGGGATCATTCTGCCTCGAGCAGACTAGATGACCTCTTGAGGTTTCTTGTAGCCTGAGCTGTCTATGATTCTGTCAGGAATACGTGCTGAACAAGGCAAGCAAGGATGTAACTATACTCTGAAGCACACAATAGTCATGGGATGGCTTGGTAGATAGTTAGCTGCTTATGTGATCTTCATTGCCATCATATTTGAAAGCATCTCACAAGTCACTGCTTTGAGGAAGTGCAACTGTGTGCCTATCTACAGTGAACTACCACCTTCATATTGGTACAAGTGCATCTTCCATGTGGAAGGAGCTCAAAAGCCTAGTGCTGTGTTAGTCAAGTATTTGATATCAACTGCAGGAGTTTTAACAAGAGGGTTTCCAGAAAATAGACTTGGGGCATGAAGCATATGAAGAAAAGGATTTGGGATACCAGAGAAAAGACTCTCTTCTCACTCATGTTACTATGGTTAAATGATGGGGAGGGTCTGCGTCACGTTAGACCACAGTCCTGTTCATGGACCTGTCACTTGAGGTGTGAACAAACAGTTCAAGTGCTTTAAAATTGTATCGCCTTACTACTGATCAGCTACAGCTGTTGTGTCTGTCCCCTTTAAGTGGAAGCAAAAGCTCTGTAACCTAAATGAAGCAGGTTTTTAAAAGTCAGTTACCATGGGTTAGATCCACTAGTAGAGGTGTGGACAAATGGAATAATGGCATCGATTCAGCTGCCACCACTTGCAAATAGAGCCCCTACCTCCAATAAAACAGCTACTAGAATTGTCCCCAGCTTTAGTCTCTTTTATGTCCCATTTGAGAATGGTTTTCATAAGGATTTTACAAAATATTTTGGTTTCTAGGACTGGGTCTGTCAAACGTGGGTGGTCTGTTTCAGTGTTTTATACCTATCTTGAAACATGGTTTGCAAGTGATTCAGGTTTCTCTTAATGGCCAACCTTTAGTCCTGATAAAGAGCTGCTGCT